AACAAATAATAATTCTACTCTTTTGACTTCCATTTGTACAATAATATCCTTTGATATTAACAGTGACGGATTTAGGGTGTGGGCACAGCGGGGCAGGTCTTTTACGTTTTAGTTCAAAGTTTTTTACATCTTAATCTATATACATGTATTAATTTAAATTTATTCCACTAAATTTTACCTTCTACCCTCACCATGAATTATTATTACATAATTTAATTATTTTTAAGGGTGTTGGTAAAAAAAAAAATACATATTACTTTTCTATAATGAAAAAAAAAAGAAAAAAATTAGGTGGCTATTTTTTTTTTCACCTAATTTTTTTCTTAGGACAATCGTCTATAAGAAAATTAAATAGAAAAGAAAAAGTTAATCAAATATTTTCATAGGCATGACTTTATTATGAAATTAGATTATTTTGTCCCACAGAAAGAACTAAAAAGTTAAATATAATAATATTTAAACGTGATATATTTTTAAATTTATATTATCTTGTAGGTTTTAAATAAGAAGTTTGTTTTTTTTTTTTTCAAATGCAGTTTCATTTAAGGGTATTTTTTTTTATTATATTGCTTTCATTTACATAGTAAGTTTTATATACTTTAAAAATATTTTACATCTAAATTTAATTTAAATTCATCAATACTATAAAAATAAATTAGTTAAAATTAAAGTTTATAATCAATTAAGAAATAATTTCTTTATTGTTTCAATAAATAAAATTTAGCACTCTTAAAGATATTTTTGTCCATCCCTAAATTTAAAAAGAACATTTTTGTCAATATGATAATAATAATGAGTTGAAAATATGTGATATACGCTTACTTTTGGATCAACCAATGCTAAAAAAATTAGTATTAATCAATTAGCTAGTTTAACTCGCGACCCTTAGATGCACTTCTTCGATTTGATATCTAGCCAATACGAGTTTCTTAACAAGGAAACTCTGTAGAAGATGAAACCCGAATCTTAATCATGCCAATTAGGCATTCAATTTTCTTCCTTCTGCTACGTCTTCATCTTCTCGTAATAGAAATTGGTCTGTAATCTCCAACACATTATTAGGTAATGTCATTCTTCCCTTAAAAAAAAAAAGGTAATATCATTCTAGCAAACTTATGAATTTGAAGAACTTCTACAAAACTATAATTCCAACAAAAGGATTCAATATTTAAAACATCTTCAATTGTTGACGGCACACTTCCTAAACCATATTCCAAAGAATTGACAACTTTCTTTTAATAAAAAAGAGTAAGAAAACAATGTTTACAGCGATTAAGTAAATAATACCTCTGCATATATCAAACAGAAGAGTAATTATCACTTGGAGCTGTGTAGCCAATTGTTTCTCTTACACTAAAAGAACTACTTTAAACTGAATTATTAGTCAAGGAGAAATTTTTCTAGACCAAAATCTCTAACGTGAGCAACCATATCATTGTCAAGAAGAATGTTGCTTAGCTTTAAATCACAATGGATGATAATTGGTGTGTGGCAACTGTGGTGAAAATAATCCGGCGCATTCCCCATATGTATGGCAATGTTCATGCTTTGAAGAAGGTTTAGGATCGGTAGTTACTGGTTGGCTCAATATACATTTCGAAACTTGGATGCAAGGTTTCCTTTCAGCATACACTCACAAACATCAATACTTGAGCAAGAAGTATATGATTCACACAAGATTTCTATGACATACATTTTGCCAGACTTTTAAGTCGGCCATAGAAATCTTCACAGCATCCCTTGTTGAAAGTTGACTACTTTTACTACAATGAGTGCTCCAATCTCCTCAACATATCCTTTATAAATACCAAAACTTCCTAGTTATTTGAATAGAAACCATTAATTACTTTGAATTTTGTCATGTGATAGATTCTGAAATGTTTTTTCTGGCATGTTGTAAGGAGGCCTCCCTTTGTCATTTGCAAAGGACTTTGACTTAATTTTTATTGTTAACACTAAACGGTTTTAGTGTGCAATTACATGCAATATTAAAATTTGGGAAATTTATGACAAAAAGAAAATAAGGTGCAATTGCAGCAAGTCGCAAAGTTTGAACTATTCTGTATAGTTAAGGGACTTATCTTGATTAAGCGTATTCAAGCCGTTTATACTACTTAAGAGAAAATAACATGAGCTTGGATCATTAGAGTAATATTACTTTAGTACCCTTAAAACAATGACTATAACATTACCTTTTCACCATTGATTTATGGAAGAGAGAGAATTGACTTGAATTTCAAAACATCATTTTATCTTTTGCATTGTTTAACTAAAAATTCAAAGAATCATTAAAATTTTTAGTTTATCTAATCACATTCGATATAAAAAACTGAAGATTTATTATTTAACTTTTTGAAGAGAATGTCAACACAATTTTCAAGTAGCATGATTCATTTACAAATAAAAAAAAGAATCTTTGTTTTTTTTCATGTTACTGCAATTTTGGGGCCCCGCTCCTATTTAAATTATACTTGACAAATGTGAGCTATGTTACCCCCACAACCTCTTCCGTACAATTCAAATACTCTGCCTTAAGCAACTTCAAACATTTATCCTTTAAAAGACATATATATGTATACATATATAAAGTAATTTGTAAATAAATAAATGAAATAAAAATATTATTAAATAGATATATAAAACCATACCAATAAATAAAAATTATGGTGAATAAGTATATTCGAGTAGATATTTTGATAATTATTATTTTGGTAGTGAATTATGTAATATTTTATATATAAATAATTGAAATAACTATTATGATACTTATAATTAACTATTCTATAATTATTATACTTAGTATTATAATAAATCATAAACAATAACTGGTACTAATATAAGAATTAAATATCTAATTACTTTATTCTATCCCTAACCACCCAGGAGAGAATTAGATGAAGGAGAAAAGGTTGAAGGAGGGTGGGGATTACGTTGGATGTATTAGGTGATAAAAAATGTATAATTAATTTAATTTTGATGTATAATTAATTCATATTATTGGACTTCTAATTACAATTGAATAATTGTATTTATAATACTATTAGAATACTAACTCTAATTATACAATAATGAAGTATTAAAATTGTTATAATTATAGTACTAGTTATAATTAGAATGCTATAATTATAATAAAATTAGAATGCAAGTGATTACAATTGTTATAAATACAATATTAATTACTATATTGATAGGAATACTAAATATCATGATGATATTAATTATTATTAATATTTAATTTTAATATTTTTTGACATGAAAATGCAAAATTTATTAATAACTCAAATCATTTGCTACAATCTCCTCCAAGAACGAAGGAGTATCATTCCAGATGTTGAAGCAAGCATAATTACATGCCTCTCTAGCCAGTGAATGGGCAGACACGTTTGCTGAAGTCCTAACCTAAGAAACTTTAACATTTTCTTTTAGACCCATAAAAAACTAGTTATGCGTTTTTAATGTTAATATTAGTACTAGTTGGTATGTGTGTTTTATCATAATACTAAATATTGTAATTATATAATAGTTAATTATAAGTATTATAACGGTCATTTCAATTATTTACATATAATTATTTTTTTATAATATATGTCACATATAGATCTAGATCGAATATAATGTCATTTATTTAATGTATATAAAAATTATTGTTATTATTATTCATAATTATATGATAAATAATTAAAATATTTATATACAAAAATTACATAATTAACTATGTAAAAATAATAATTATTAAAATATTTACTGCAAGTACCATTGAATGTGATTTTATATATAAAATATATAACAATATTTTTATTTTATTATTATATTTTACTGCAATATACTTATGTTCAATTTTATTTTTTACCATTTTATTAACTGATTAGGTATCGGGGCCAACATATTAATTAATAATTATGTTTTATTGGTCGTAACAAACTCACACTTATCCTTTATTTGTTCCGTAAAATAATTTGCAGAAAAATAACTTGCTAAAAAATATTTTCTAAATTACTTATTTTCTATTGTTTAGTTGTAACATTGCAAATTAGTTAAAAATATTAAAGCTTTTATCTCATAAGCCCATAAAAAATATTAATAATAATAGAAATTACAAACTCACACTTATCCCTTTATTTTGTTCGTAAAATAATCTTGCAGAAAATAACTTCGCTAACAAATATTTTCTAAATTAACTTATTTCTATTGTTTAGCTTGTAACATTGCAAAATTAGTTAAAAATATTAAAGCTTTTATCTCATAAGCCCATAAAAATATTAATAATAATAGAAATTTTATTAATTTAAAAATTTTTATTGTTAAAATACTCGCCCGAAGCACGCAAAAAAAAAACAAAATGTAAGGCGGTCGTTGGTGGTAGTGGTCGGCTGGTAAATGGTTGAGCTGATGGTAGTCCCGGCCTACCGATGATTATAATTTAAAATTTTATATATATATATATCCTATATTATATTATAAATTTTAATTTCATTAATCACCATCGTAGTCGCTACCCCATCAGCCTCACCATTCCACGACCACTACAAACGCAAAACTCACCGCCTTACTCTTTTTTTTTTTTTTTTTTTGCGTTCTTCTCATATTATATATATATATATATATATATAAGTTTGTCAATGTTCCAAAGATGTTTTACTCTTTTGAAAATGAGAAGTTGTTTTCTTTAAAAAATGAATTAATATTCCTTTGACCGGAACAAAATTTTCCGTTGATTTATTTTTCTGAGCATTCCAAACAACTGAAAATTATAGAAAATATTTTCTTGCAAATTATTTTACGAAAACAAACGGAGCCTTAAATGCCATAAAAAAACGCAGAGTGCGTGCAATGAGCCATGAAGCAAGAATGATAAGAATTTTAAGTTGTAAAATAGTATAATTTTATCAACTCATTCATTTTGCTCTGATACGAGAATGGTTCCTTTATTAATTACGCAAGATATATGTGTCCATCAACCAGCAATTAACAATTAATTTGCTAAACACATGACTATTTAATTAAGCCTCAGCCAACTGTTTGATGTTAATAGGAGTGACGAATCGCGCATCACCGGTAAAGAGGGTTACAGCTGCAAGCCATGAAGCTTTCTGTGTAGGATGGTACAAATCCCAGAACAAGTACTGACGCCTATCGGAACAGAAATTTGCGTTTGGACTGCAGGATTTGTTTTCATCTTCACAACATGGATCTTTCACATTCGTAAATCCTGAAAAAGCATACCTTAATATATCAATGTATATCTCAGCAAGTATTTTGTAACTAACACTATATATAAAAGTATAGCTTTAGCTGACCAGATAGAGAGGGGTTATCTATGACATTTATAGTCATCTCATAAGTATCACCGAGGGAATACTTGATGTCTTTGTACTCCGAGCTGAGCTTGACTAATACGACACTGATTGCTGTATAAAAATCGGTAGCAAGAGTGTTCAAGTCCCCCAAACAACCTCCTGTGAAGTTCAGAATCCTCATAGATGGACAACATCCAATTGTTGGAACACTTATAATGCCAAACTTCCTTGCACCTAATTTATACAGGTTCTGCATTATCAACGACAGTTTCAACTGGGAAGCTAAAATACCCCATTGTCACTTAAAATTTAAATTTTTTGTTCCAACTATTACTCACCCTTAAGTAGCCATCATATGCAAGTCCTAAAGAATCTATGAACTCTTGTTTGTTGGGAACACTGGTGTTTGACAAGAAATAAGCAAACAGATCGTTGCTACCAACGCTGATGAAGAACAAAGATTTTGAAAGAAAAGTTTGAGCACAAGCTTCACCCTTATTAGCTACCAGCTCACTGTAGATTGATGAAAATTGGTCTATTTGCTCTGCCAATGAGATTACATTCTGTGTGGCGTTCTGCATGACATTTGAAATATTATTATGTTTTCTTTTGCATCTAATGACAAGTCATAATGTTTTGAGAGTGAAACGACAAGTCGTACCGGTGGTTGCCCTGTTATGTTTAGAATGCCAGAGCCCGCAGACGCAAAGTTTACTCCTCTAAAGCTAGGCCTCTTTACACCTTTTATGTTGTTCACCAGAAAGAAGGGTAGTGGACTTCTCTTGAATCCCAAAAACTTAGCTGTCCACAAAAACATCATTTCAAATGTGAATTTATTTGTAAATAAATATTTAGATAAAAACATTATGGAATAATAATAAAGAGTAATGTTCAATTCTTCTTTTGAACATTATCGATAAACACAGTATATTACGAACAAGTTCAGGAAGCAAATTCAACATTACTCTTAATGATAACATTAATACTTACCAAGAAAGTCAGCACTATTAAAGCCATTACTGAACCTTCCAGTTGGTCTAGAGTGAGGAAAATCAATGCCGTAAGGTAGAAAATTGGCTTTAAAAATACTTCCAGACAAGAAATTGTTAGTTCCAGTATCAGCTGTTGAATCTCCTAGTATGAAAACTGCTGGAACTTCTGCATTTGCTGTGTCAAGAGCAGCAACAATCGCTATGCAGAAAATTAGAACAAATATCTTCTTTCCCATAATTAATTAAGGAGGTGACAATCTAATTAACAACCTCCTTAATTAATTACTTTCCTTTTTAGTGTTAGAAGCTTAAGTGAGGAATTCCCAACATGATTTTCAAGTATTTATACATATAAATGTTAGACAAACATACAATTGCCGGTTAGCTGTCTAATTGGCAGATTGTCCGATTTAGTGTCGATTGACCATGTCAATGATTTATAATTTTTTATTGTTTGCGATTGTAAAATATTTGTAATTACTTATTAGTCTTTTACGTACTGTTTAATTATATAAATTACAAGGTTCTGAACTGGATTTAATGATGGGAACATAGTACATAACTATAAAAATTTTATGTTATTCTAAATTTCACCGATGATTATTCAATTTCTATATATATTGCATTGTTTCTTTTGCATGTCAGTAAGGAAAAAGTTCAGAGGAATAAGATGATGACAAGGTGTTATGAATAATGAAATTTCTTATTAAATTTCTTATATAATTAATATATTTCAATTTATCCTTAAATTTTGATTATCAAGATGTTGATGACTTATGTATTTTTTTTTAAAAAAAAAAAATTCATGAGATTATTCCGCTTACCCTTTTTTTTTTCCAATGAATGCTCAAAAACTCTTATTTTAAAAAAAATAAGTATTTTTCATTAGTTTGAGTCATTGGTGGATCTATAGACCGAGTTTAGATAAGTTATTTCTCTTAATTTATAATTATTTTAATGCATGCTTTTTCATTCTCACCAGCAGATATCTAATATTTATTTTATTGCTCTTTCTATGCAAAAATTTAAAAATATATTTTATAAAGCACAAGTGTTTATTATTTACCTAATGTCAATTAATCAATTACTGAAACTTCCTTAATTTTGATTGCTCTATTAATGGACATCATGGTGATTTGTGGTAGGTTTGTCCTTTTTAGACAGACAACAAAGTTGGGTGAAAGGCATTGTGGGGTTTCACATTCAAAGCTGTTGCCGTCTGGTCAAATCCAAATATTTTTGGAATTGGAATGGAATCAAAGAATTTTGTTTGGTAATTTGTATGATAGAGACAAAGTGGCCTCTTCAATTTTGTCTTCAGAGACATATTTTGGCCATCAGTCTTACTTGTTTGTAAAGAATCCATTCATTAATTAATCCATGCAACATCGATTAAAGAGTGAGTCCAGAGACGAACAATTACAAGAATTATAGTTTTAATGTAAATTGCTTTTTATATATTCTGATGTTAATTAGCTTTTCTGATTGGATTCTCTTGCGTGAAAAATAAACTCCAATTACAGATTTTTTTCATCAATTAATTTTTTATGTAACGTATGTTGTATGTTTCTGTTGCTCATTTAATACATGATGTTTATACTCGAAAACATTTCGGTAAAGGAAAATTTAACTAATTTTTTAGTGTTAAAATTTCTAATGAAGGATTCTTGAATGGTATCAACATTGGTAAGTGGCTAGTGGATCTCTATTTGAACGAGCCAACCCATGATTTGAACGAAGGTTTGGATGTTTTAGAATTTTGGAATAAGAGCTTAAAATGAGATATGTGCTTTAATTCGAGTCATCAGTGTTGCTTCGAATCTGCTTTTAGCATGAGAGGGAGGGGAGGTGCTACACCATATGTAGTGTTATCAATTGACCGGCTCAGCTTTTAAAAGAAAAAAAAAATTATAAAATAAAATTGAATTAATAAAAAAAATAAAAAATATATATTAAATGAAAAATTTTAAAATTTTTAATCTAATTGACTTTATTAAAAATTAAATCAAATTCAATTTTTTGAGAATGCAAATGCCTAGGATTTTATTTTGGCAGAAAGAATGCAAAGCTCAATTTAGTTTCAATTAATTAAATCAATTGTTATATTATTTATTATTTAATGTATAGTAAATAATAAGGATTGAAATCCTTCCCCCAAATGGGAAGGGATGTTGAACAGTTGAACCCAGCTAAACATGGTAACTGGCGAAGGTTAGTACTAAGCAATTAAGTAACTAGTTTGTCACCTTTATATATTCTTTATGGATTTGATATTTAGTCAACGTGAGATTCTTAACAAAATCTAGAGTATAACATACCATAAACTTTTTAAAGATATTAAAATTTTTAATTCATAGATTACTAATATTAAAAAATTTTATACTAATTAAAATTTCTTATTAACATCCACTTGCTTGAATTTTATATTAACTAGAATTCAAAACTGGAATAAAATTGAAAATCTTGTTTTAACATGGTTTAATAAGGATATTTTAATATTATTAGTTTTCTCGCACGTGCATTGCATATTGTTTGTACTATTATTTTTTATTATTTTTTTATAAATTACGATACTATGAATAGTTTATATTACTAAAAATCCAAAAGCATTCATAAAATATAAAAAAATTATCCAATAATAAAATAAATAATGCAATAGTTAAATAACTTGTTAAGAAAGTGATAATAATAAAACATTATTATAATTTGACAACTAAATTTGCATAAAAATAAAATTACTTATCAACCAATTTAAATTTTCTTGCAGCAATTTAGATTTAATTAACTTAATTTTTAGCTTAAACTATAATAAAAGTTCGACTTCTCGCAAAGATTCAATTTCATAATCAAGCTCTAGGCTTTGTTAATAGCTCTTAATAGAGCCTAAAGAATCAAGCTATTGGCATATCGCAAAAGAGTCGTAGGTACAGTCAAAAAAATTATAGCGCAAAAGAGTAAGTAGGTACAGTCAAAAAAATTTGGGGGGGGGGTGGGGTGGGGGGAGGGGAGGGGTGGGGTTGGGAAGGATTTAGGAGTTTTATGAAGTTCACTTTGGGAACTTTATTAACTCATGTCCACTTTTGGTGTTTAAGCAAATTTGGGAATTTTATCAAGTCTGGAGCGATTCATGCCATGAAGAATTGCTTTCTATTTTCGAAAATAAAGGTAAATCTGAATAGTTCACCAACACAATGTTCTAATCGCTTTAAAAAGATTAAAACAAACTATAGGTTGTGGTTGTAATTCGCTCGATAGTTCTTGGTGGTTCTATATTTGTGACAGTTAGGACTAAGAATCAGGGATAAACAGAGGGAAGAGAAAAATAAAAAAGAAACCATTTCGAACTTGGTTAATATGTGAAAGGAAAAACGCAACGAAAGAGGAGAAATATTGTGTTTGCATAGTGTTTTTCTTTGATGTTTTCTTCTTCTTCTTTTTTTTTTTTTTTTTTTTTTTTTTTTTTTTTTTTTTTTTTTTTTTTTTTTTTACTTTTTGCTAAAGTCTATGAGCATAGAATCAATTTTGTAATTATTTTTTTTAGAAAAAAATCCTTCCAATATGATTTATGGTTCGCTAATATAACATGTTATAACATAATTTTATGTTATTTCATAATTTTCTATTTTATATCAAAGAATAAATCTTGTAATATATTCCTTAATAAATAATAATAAATGACACTATCTGTTTTTGAAAATAAAGGCAAACCTGAATAGTTCACAAACACAATGTTCTAATCGCTTTAAAGATTAAAACAACCATAGGCGGTGGTTGTGAATCGCTCGATAGTTTTTTGTGGTTCTGAATTTGTGACGGTTAGGGTTAAGAATCAGAAACGGAGTAGAGAGAAAAAAGAAAAGAAAAAAAAATTGTTTTGAACTCAGTTAATATGTGAGAGGAGAAACGTTGTGTTTGGCATAGTGTTTTAGATTCTTGGATTAAGTTAATCCAAGGTGGCCCAATGGGTCCCATTTATAAGATTTTATTGTACATCCTAGGTCAAAGAATTTGGAGCAACAATATTTACTTTTTTAAGTTGGGGTGCCAATGGGACGAATATGATTTTAGAATTGCAACAGGTTGCAAAGTTTGGGAATATTTGTGGGTTGCATTTTTTTTTTTTTTTTTTAGAAAAAATGAAACTAAAAATTTATTAAGAGGAAATTGTATACAGATATTGGATACAGATCAGTATATTTCTATTATTTTATATAGGAAGTGTAATAATAAAATACTTATACAAAGAAAAAAAAAAACGCAATTTTTGATTTGAGATATCTGATCAAGTTGATAGAACATATATAATATTTGTGTCATAGGCAATCGTTTGCTCCATTTTGTGGTTATTTACGGCCACTGTTAGACTCCATGGTCTTTTTACAACTCCGATATGATTACTTGCTAATTTCTTCCGTCTATTGAAGAGGAGATCTACATTTCTTTCTGTATAACTATCCAATAACAAAAGACACTAAATAAAATCACCATAATGGTGATAACAGTAATTCAGAATTACATCTGAGAACAAAATCTCAAGATATGGATAATAATAAATATCAATATTTGGCGACAATAATTCAAATATGATGATTATTTACAAAAATAAAAAATAAAAAACAAAAAAATGAAAATGGGTGACTACCGTAAGATGCTTGTGGAAGAATAAAAGAGCAGTTAGCTACAATAATATTTTAATATATTAATCATTGTTTTAGCGCATAATTTATAATTTTTGATGTTTTTTTTTTACTTTTTGCTAAAGCCTATAAATATATAATTAATTCTATAATAAAATGTGGGTCTCGTATTTATATGGCACAACCCAAGAAGGGGGTGAATTGGATTTTCTAAAAACTGAAATAAATTTTAGAAATTCTAAACAAAATATAGAATTCTAAGTGCAGAAGTGCAGCGGAAATACACACAGAACTTTGTGAGAATAGAATATGATTAGAATCTCCTCACAATTGTCTAATTATAAAAAATTAGAAAGTCTGTGCGAAGTGCAGCTATGATTAGAACTGCTTCTCCACTGACTTATACACTATCAGGCTTCTTTATGACAGAAAGCCATTTGAAATTGGAAACTTCCTCATAAAGTTGAGAAATCATATAAAGTTATGTGAAAGACAGTTGATAAATTCAGAATCTTCTTTCACAGAGCCTGAATCAAATTAGAATGACTTTATGATTGGAAGCTATCAGGATTAGAACATGCCTCATAAAAGTTATAGAA